GGTCAACTGGCTTCAGCCAGGTTTCTCCACTGTGCGATTACTATGTCTCCCTCTTGGGAAGATACTTTGAGACCCTGTAACCATCCTGTTGCTCTCCAACTTCACACCCACTCTGCTGGTTTCCTTCGGCTGCCCTAACAACAAATTACCACCAGCTGGGTGACATAAAACAACAGAATTCTTTCACAGTTCTGGAAGTCAGAGTCCACAATCAATGTGTCGGCAGGGCTGTGCTGCTGGGGAAGGCTGCAGGCAAGAACTTGTCCCCAGCCTCTTCCAGCTCCTGGTGGCTCCAGCTGTTCTCGGCTTGTGGCTGCATCCCTCCATGGCCACATCCTTCCAATCGCTGCCTCTGTGGTACCCTCCTCCTCATGTGTCTGTGTCTTCTCTTCTATCTCTTAAAAGGACACATACCATTGGATTTAGGGGCCATTCAGTTATACAGGATGATCTCATCTCAAGATCCCAAACCTAATTATATCTGCAAAGATAATTTTTCCAAGTAAGTTCACATTCACAGGGGCTGGGTATTAGGATGTAGACATTTCTTTTTTCTTTTTTTTTTTGGCGGGGGGGGCACCATTCAACCCACTATGCCCACTAATTGTGGCATTCATCAATGATCATTGCCTGAATTGATTATTATGATGTTGGTTGCTAAGTGCCAAAGATGATTGCTTTCTAATCCCATCTTTCTAGTTACATTGCTCATAAGTACCCTATGGAAGACTGTCCCCTCTCCACATTCATTTACTGATTTAAACCAGTGGGGACACATCAGTTCTTACTTTATGCAATAGTTTATAGTCTTTTACCTCCCATATTTATTTTGATAAATAATGGATTTCTCCCAGATTTGGGTCCACACTCTGAACCACCATTCTCCACTGTCTCTGGGGAAAGGTCCCTCTGTGACAGGGTGGGGGAGCACAAACAATTCATTTTTCTCTAGAGAATACACTTTTCTTGGGAGTTTTGGGGGCTTCCCATCCAGGATTTGTCTTACCATTAGGTTCTGCCTTCCTAAGTGAGCTCCACCCTGGGCTTTCTGCACACCTGGTTCCTTCAAACAGCCATCAACAGCCCCTTGTCATCCCCTGAGGCCAGCAGGTGCAGGAGGGCAATGGGTGGGAAGGGGGAGCCAAGGGGTCTACATTGTCAGCTTTCCTTATGCAGCTGACCGCCCAGTCCTGCTTGTATCACTGCTCCCAATTCTCATTCCCACTGACACCCTCCCCACTGCAAGTTATGACCCCTCATAAAAAAAAAAAAAGTTCTTTCTCTTTGTCTAGGTCTCCTTTTTCCCATCTGTAAATTTCTATAAACAGGGGTGCAGACTCCATGACCCGTTGGATTCTTGGCATGTCTATTGAAGACTGTGGTTCTAAGTCAAGGTCAGGACCACTCAAAAGTGTGGCCTATGGACCTGTTGCCAGCCCTGAACTTTTGTTAGGATCCCTTGAATGGAAAAGGACAAAACCAGACAGTAAATACATACAAGTTTTAAGGCAATTTGACAGCTTGGTTCTATGTCTGTTCAATGTAACAATAAAATATTTGGGATTGGATTTTGGATTTTTTTCCATTTCATTTTTCTAAGTCACTCATTTTTATTGTATTTTACAAAAGCATTGGTGAGCGGTGCACAGGAAATATAAAGAACTGATCCCCCACCCTAGATAGATGACCAAACCCTGGTCGTAGGCACCCTGTGTATGTGGGAGGGGTGGGTCACCTTCAGGGTTCCCCATATACAATTCCTGAAACCTACATCTATTGTCTGGATGCCATCAATTCTAAGTAGATGGAGTTTACTGGGCACCTGCTATGTACATGCCCTTTGCTTCCACCACCCCAGCCCTGTCCACTCCTCTCTCCTCTCACTGAGCTACCTAACACATGGGCTCCTAATTGGTCTCCATTCACCCATTGCCAAAGAGTGGTGTTCTGAAAACATAACCCCCACACCTCCAGAAGCTTCCCGGTGCTCTTAGAATCAAGTCCAAACCCTGTACCTTGGCCTGCAAGGCACCACCTGATCAAGTCCTGCCCGCTGTCCAGCCGCAGCCCCACCCTTCTGTCCACTTCTCACACAAGCCAACGCGTGTTCCCTCCCAGCACCTTTGCATATGCTGTTCCCGCTGCCAGCAATGCTGTTCCCACTCTTCCCATAGTAGGTCTTTGTCGTCCTTCAAGTGTCCACTCCAACAGTGCCTGCTCAAGGTGGCCCAGCCCTCCTGGTTTATAGCACCCATCCCCCAGCATCCTCTATTTCCTTCATAGAACTGTTTGGAATTGTAAATCTCCAGGCAGGGCAGGAACTCAGATAGGGTTCCATTTCAATGCAAATACATCCATTCCCCACCCTGAACAGACACAGCCGCAGAGACATCCATGAACAGGGACCACGTTCCAGGCAGGGCTGGGTGGGGTCCTGAATTCCACCCACCATCTGACGATCGCACCTGTGGAATGGAAACACAGTGGCAACTTCCTCAGAGAGGTTTCCATGGCAGTAGGGCAAGGACACAGCGCTTCGGCACAGTCAGCACACCACAACCAGAGGCTATCATCATCACCAGACTTCACCTCTGTGGCAGGGATCAGCTCTATTTTATTCATCATCATAAGCTATAAGTGAGCTATCATATAGTACCTGATCAATAAATACCTTATAAATGAAGGGATGATGACGTGGGGTCCATAGAGACTTACTAAAAGGTGATTTCAAAATTCCAGGATCAATCATGCGTGCTTTGCCATGAGTGGCAGGGGGAAAGTCTTGTCACACACTGGGAAGGGACAGTGGGAGGAAGGTGCTGATGTGGGAAAAAAGAGTGCTGATGTGGGAAAAAAGAGTGCTGCCTTCATTGGGCTATGAACTCCATGCAAGAGGAAGAGACTTGGTCTCGTTTCCCTGCATCCCCTGGACCTACCTAGGAGAGGAGGTGCTCCTAGAAATCTACTGAATGAGTTAATAAGAGGGAGAATTGAAGGGGAGCTGAGGGGCGGGCGGAGGAGAGAAGGGAAAGAGAGGAGACAGGGGAGGGGAGGGGAGGGAAGAGAGGACATCGGGTCCATTCAGATCATGACCTGCAAACCCCTTTTCTTATATTTTTAAAGGAAAAGCAGCTAAATAGTTTCCAAAGAAACTTTAGACACAGTAGGGAGCCTCTAAGATAAATTCCGGAACCCATGTCAATGTTTATATGTTCTGGAAGCTAAAAGCTGAGAAACAATAGAAATCTGGTGAGGCTGTATTCTGGATTTATAAACTTGGGATTTCACTCTAATTGGTAGGCAGGCCAATAATTGAGGTCTTCTTACCTCTCTTCAGGGACCATTTCCTCAAAGCCTCGATTGATGTAATTGTCATTCCTCAGAAACCACCACCAAGCAGCACACCAACCACAAATCACAGCAAACAGCCTCAGACAGCACTAATGGCTGCATGACCACTAAGCCCTTTGGGGAGGGGGCATTTGATCTGATCAGCTCTACTTGGGCGAAGCTCTTACCACCTCAGCCACAAATTCATCCCATTTGCAGGAGGTAATCCAGAGCTCCCTCTCCCACCACTGGAAGGTCACAAAACCCTGAGTGTGATTTGCAGGGTAATCAAGACTCCTTACATGGGCCCAGGAGCAGGGGTGTTTGGGTTTTGTTCTTTTTTTAAAAAACGACTTAGTTGAGGTATAATTTACATATCATAAAATTCAGCCATCGTGAACGAACAGTTCTGTGACCTTTAATAACTTTTGAAGTTACATAATCATTACCACAATCCAGTTGTAAAATATTCCCATCACCCAGGGAGTTCCTTGAGTTCTGAGCTTTTTAAGCCACTCACTTTATATTGTGATTCCTGAGGGTAAACCTCAAAAGACCCCGAGGCAAAAATGTTCTCCCAAAGAACCCAAGCTAGCCCTTACTTTCCATCCATAGGAGGAAACTCTTTAGGTAGGATGCTATTTAATTTGCATAATGGGTGCTATTAATTTGCATACTGTGCCCAGTGTCCCAAAGGATGAATAGAGGGACAGTGGTGGATGACTGGAAGCCCCCAGAGAGAGAGAGAGAGAGAGATCCTGGTGATGGGGGAAGGATTTTATCATCTAAAGCAGGAAATGCAGAAAAACCTCAAGACTCAAGAAGAAATCAAGAGGTTCCCCTTAAGAGAGGAAGGTATCCCTCATGAGAAGATATCACAAACCCGGCTTTTGTGATCTTTTTTCCGATCTCTGCTGTGTCAACCAAAGCCAGTATCTCTTAGCCTGTGAAGCTCTGGACTCTTGAGCAACTGGAAGGACGGAAGAGGGATTGAGTGATGTCCTAAACACATTGGGCAGCACATGAGTAAACAAAAATCTCTTTACTGCAGAATTTTTCAGA